TTGATATGGGTCTCGTCGACTTCAACTGGACGGCCAGATTGTTGCGCATTTTTCAGTGAAAAATCAGCAGAATGAAATTTGGCAAACCAATTTTGACACTGTCTTTCTTTCAAGGCTTCGTTCCCATTTACGGCACGTAACTTCTTGCGTGCTTGCGATGCGTTCTTGCCTTTTCGGAAATAAAACAGTAAAATATGTCCGAAATGCGCGTCTTGTTCTTCCATTTTTAAATTGGGATAAAAACGAAACTAAATAACTAATCGATACAATTTTTCAACTAAATTAAAGGCGGAAGTCCAAACAACAAGAAAACAATATAAGTTAGGTGCCTTGAACACGTTGACAAAACAAAAGAACGTGCAAAAGCTATCTATTGACAAAATCCGCAATCACTTAGTTGCCAACCCAATATAACACCAAACTTGTTCCTTTTTCTCATTTTATATCGTATGCGTAATCCGAACAAAATTCCACCGCAAATAAATCCATCGTAAAATAGAAATTGAACATGAGTTTATAATATAGGAGGCAATATAACATTGACTGATACTGTTTGTCTACAATGGAAGCAGATGTTTATCGCGTGTACCGCCATTTCCATAGGAGTTATTAATTCCGAATGAAGTTGTTCGAAGATGATTCGAAATTAGTTGCGCAAGACAGATTGCAATTGCGTAACTCCACACGCGAATCCGTACTCCTGTTGTGTCACGTGTGCAGTATGCCTACCTGAATACGTGTAAATCCGTGTATCGTGTGTTGGTTCGCTAGTGATGCCTCGCCACAGTCATCGCGATGATTGCGCTCGCTAGAATACGTAGAACGATTCGATTTCATCGCTAAAAACGAATATCTGTTGCCTAAAATGAAATAGCGAGCGAGTCTCAAAAAATTTATCAACTCAATGGTAAACGCTAACAGACTAATCGAGAATGATTCGATTTCTCGAGGAAAATTCTGGACAAACGTCAGTGCCGCATTGCGAAACGCAAAGTAACCTAAAAAAGCGGACAGTATTCTTTCTGCTGAATCAAGTGGATCAGACTGGGACCATTGGCAGGTCAACATCACGATCACGCCGGATATTTAAGGCACGAATTGAATGCAGCTGCCATGCGATTTGCAAAACAAAAGAGAATTTTATTTGGCCTCGTACAACGACTGGAAAATCGAGTACAACGCCTAAAACGTGCTGGTTTATAGGAAATCCGTTTGTCAACGCGGAACTCGATTCCTTTTAACGCTTGGTCGCTGGATAAATTTGAAAAATGGACGTGCTGCTACAAAAGCATGGTGCTAAGCATATATACAAGGTGCCGGAAGGGTTACGTGAATTGTGCACTGACATTTCGCGAGAAGTAAGTGTTCGTGATATATATGAAAAAACACTGTGATTTTGTATGATATTTATCGATCGAGTAAAATTTGAAGGATATTTCGAGGTTAAATAATTCGAAACATATGTACGTGCTTGCGTTAAACAAATAATTTCTCTTTCTCCCTCTTCAAATCCAATTCCCAGGTTCATTAAAATTTCAATGAACCGGCACCCCATTTTATTATCCTTTATGAAAATTTGAATTTGCGGCAAATTTTAATGAAGTTTACTTGAAGCTTAGATCCGCCATTTTAAATGCATACGGCGAGACTAAATATTATTTTTTAATTTCCGAAATTCCTAATTTTTTATTTTCTATTCGAAATCTCTCCAGGGATATCTCCAATGCTTCCAATCTTATATCTTCCCGTTATTTATTTATTAACTTACAAAATACATATGTTTTCTATCTTTATAGTTTTCGTACTTATGTTTCGAAATATTTCAATACCGCATAATAAGGACATCGTTTAAACGCGAACCATTAACTGTTCGTATAAATAACACGTACGCAAACAGACTGCACGATAAACGTTTCGTTATCAATGTCCATAAAACACGATTTAATCTCTGATATCGTGTTAATGGTCAATTCTTGATTTTATAATCGTAAACAGGTTCTCCGCTCGCAGCCAGCCGACCTAATCGCCTTTATCGCCGAATACGTGGACACGCTCCTGATCACACGTGAAAACACGAAAAGTACATTTCATTTTATCAATGGATCCTGTTCCTTCTCGCGCCAGAACGATTGCCAAGAAACGTTATCGTTTTTCTTCCTTTCTTCCTTTTTCTTTTTAATTTTCGGTACAAGTCGACCGCCATAAAAGCCAAACTATCTTTCCAGTTGCGGTCAAAGTCGTAAACAACATACTACTCGGGAGCCAGGCCATTTTGTGCATACTTTACCAGGCTGGTTTCACTTTGGAGCAGATCGCTGTCGCGGCTCCACGGATCCAAGTAAGTTTTATTGTCGCGTGCTGACCGTTTATCCATGTCCACGCGATATTTCCAGCCAACCCTTCTTGCCTCTACCCTCCCTTTCCGCCTTATATGCAACCTTTTCTTCTCTACCTTCGTTCTTTTCAGAAAGCATTCCGAGAGTACCTGGACGCCGTTGACACGCAACCGGTACAGATATGCGAAGGTAGGGGAACCCGTGAATGAATCGTAAAAAGACCTAGTAAACGTTATTATTTTAAGTTAGTCATTTTATTCGAGAGCAGGGTTATAAAACGAGGCGAAATAAAGATATGACATTACTCGTTAGTAGCAATTGTTATTAATACAAGTTTTAGTGGGCCCTTAAAGCAAACTGTGTTTACGAGTCTGGATTAAAATGATTAATGCGAATGATGGTGTATATAGGGGTTGAAAGAAAGAAAACGATAATTTAACTACATAAAATAAAGTTATACTGTAATTTTATTTAAATTATGTCACGCAATGGGTTTATATATATTCGTAACAATATAGAATTAAATTTCAACCTAAGATACAATTTATGATTATAAATCTGTAAATCTAAAATCTTTATAATATATATTCCATTATAGATTGTAACAGAAAATTATTTGTTCATATTAGCTTGTATTACATTACTGGAAAATCGTATCGGTTGCATTTTAATTTTCTGTAAATCGTTTGCAGATCCAACTTTCGACGACCAGTCCATGATCTCGATACGAAGTATTCTGGAAGCAACGGGGGCTACACGAGGGGACGCAGAGCGCGCTGCTATAGTGATACAAGTAAGTGACTGAATAGAAAATATTTTCCTAAGATTTATTCTGAATTTCATTCGAAATTAGGCAGCGTTTCGTGGCCATTACGAGAGAATGGTTTTAAACGAAGCTCAAGGAAAGGTGCAATGGCAGAGAGCAGTAACAAACACTTTGGATATCCTGAAAAAGGCTGGTGCCACAGCTGCAGAAATTTCTAAGGCCACAAGACTCGTGAAAGTAATGTTTCCCGTTTGAATACGGTGTTAATAATGATAATTTATTTATCATCACGCGTAGTTTGCCTATCGCGGATACTACACTAGAAGAAATCAGAAGATGGGCGTCCGTAAGATCGTAATTGCATGAACGTGTTGAGTTTGGGGTAAATTTTGGATACTTTAAAAGATCCGATATCGTGGATGTTCACAGCGGAGGCAGAAGAAGAGCCTCTTAAGAAGGATGAACGCATACTAGAACCCGTGGAAGCCGTTCAAGCGGTCGCTTGGATGGAAATGATGTACGAAGACTCTGGATTGACATTGGAGAAGGCCAACGAGGCTGCATCGATTATTCAAGTAACGATATCTACGAGTATAGATGATGCTAACGATCGTTTTAATAAAATTATCAAATTTATATTTCTGATTTGGATTTGCCGTTAAATTTAATCGAGGAATGACACAGATTGAATAGCAAAAATGAACTGACAGTGTAATTGGAAAGGGAATGATTTCGGGTAACAAAATGTGAAAAATAGAGCGTGAATAAAATAATATTTTATCATAAAATTATAAAGCGGATTTAACTCTTTGTTGCTTTCTAAAATAATTCAAACTAGCTCTATTTCAATTGATAGAAAGCTTACAAAATGTATCGTGCAAGGAGACATTGCTACGACGTGCAACAATTGGAATCGACGAAGACGATGGTCGCTGATGCCGTTATCGATAAGCTGCATCAGAGAATTTTTAAAAAAGTGACTATGAGTGGCAATATTCCTGTTGAATATGGCACCAGGGATGAAATAATAGCCGAGAGTACAAAATTTCAAGTTTCTTTCAAAGAAAAGTTGCGAGTAACGCGTTTAAAAAAAGAAGGTACTTCTATTTCACTAATTTAAAAACAACGTGAAGATGTACATTCTCTACTATTAATATCCTCAGTTAATAATATTCAATGTGAAAGAAAATGTAATTATGTTTTAATTATACATATATAAATGACAATAATAATACAAATTCTTATCAGGTCACTTCGAGCATGGTGAATACGAAGAAGGTGACGAGGAACAGGAAGACAAAAGTAACTGCAAAATTTTACTCGTAAAATGACTATTCTAATAGATCACTAGCAGTATTTCAAATTCTTATTTAAGTCAAATATAAATGATGAACGACAAGTATAAGGAAGAACTGAAAAATTTATTTAAACAGGTGAAGTGGAAGATGTACCCTCTACTCCAGTCTTGAAACTGAAACCTAAATATCGCCCGGTAGACCCGGAAATAAAACTCAAAACGGAAGACAGGGAAGAACAATTAACAGAAGGGGAAGAAACGGAAGGAGAAGCGACAGAGACTGAAATTACGCTGGAACAATCAACCACGAGTCCGGAATTGCAATCGGAAATCGAATCAGAGCGTCCAACAGATTCAGAATTTGAGGATCACGTCGAGAAAGATGAAACAGGTATTAACAATTGGATACTATGAATATCACTACCATGTATACCAGTTGTTAATGAAATTTTTACAGTGTACGAAACGAAAAAAGGTGAGGAAGAGCAGAGGAAAGAAGAGGAAGATGAAGAAGAAGAAGAGGAAGTAGAACAGGAAGAAAGGGAAAAAGAGGAGAAAGAAGAGGAAGCAAGGGAGGGTGAAGAAGAGAAAGCACAAGAGGAAGAGCCGGAGGAAGGTGAGGAGGAGCAAAAGGAGATGAAAGCGGAATAGGAAAAGGAAAAGACGGAAGAGGGGCCAAATGATGCCCAAGAGGCTGGCGGCACAGCGCACGTTGTAGCGGAATGATATAAATGCGCTCGTTTATTAACTTTATTAAAGCAATATACTTCCAAAATAAGTTTATTAACTTTATTAGCGCAATATATTTTAAAAAATAAGCTTTTGGAAGAACGGCGGGTACGCAAACCTTGAAATTGAATTTCTGTCTGGCCGTTATTTTTTTGTACACCCTTTCTAAGGCGAAAATGAAAATTAGAATAAAAATTCGTTTGCTGAAAACTTTATGGTGGCTTTAATGAAAATTTTTTAAATATATAAAGCGTCTTCTTACAAAGACATTAGTAATATATGTACGTAATTTTTGTAGCTTCTCTACTAAACTCAAATTTCTCGATAAATCATCACCAATAAGGAGCGATAAAGTACACCTACAGCAGTTGGTTACTGTAAAATATTTAGAAAAGAAAGTACCTAACAAACGAGTGAACTAAGAATAATAAAATAACAAAAACTTGGTAGACTCTTAGTAGACTCTTTTTCCCAAGCTAAAACGTATGTCTCCACGGTGTGCCCTTTGCTGAACAGCAGGTACCAGTTTTTATTAAACGGGACTTTAGGTTTTTGAATTGATTGCAGTCCCCTTCCCTGAAGATCTGTCCGCAGCCGTGTCTGCACGTTCTTCCAATTGACACACGGTTGTCTCGAAAACGACAGTTGTCGTTGTTCGAATATCTTTCTCCCTGTTTCGTGTTCACTTCATCCAGTTGACCGTTGGTTTCCGAGGTGTACGATTTAGCGCATTCGTCTTTGGCTCGTTCATCCGAGAATTCAGTTCCACCGAAATATGTCTTGTGCTTGCACTTTTTATTGGTTTTGTACTTTTCCACCAAAATGCACAAAGAGTCCTTGTGATTGATCGTACCCACGGAATCGTCGAGCTCCTCGTCGTTTTGCTCCTGCACCGTCGAGATCTTTTCTGAATTTTTCGTACAACAGCTGTGATTGCAGATCGATTCACGTGTGGTATGATCTTTGTAACAGCAGCTTCTGTGATTATTGGAATTCGAGGAGCAGAGACAAGTGTCTGACGCGAGATGTTTTTCCTTTGAAGAGTAGCTGTTGACAAAAATTTAAACAAAAATAATCCAAATTTTTTAATGTCTAATAGTAAAAATTATGTACTCTATGTATGTACTCTAATTGTATGATTTGTAGATATGCACTTTTATTTATTTCATAATTCACTATTCATTTGTAACACAATCTGATGCACCGTTGATTTCAAAGAACAAACAAACTTTCTGATCCATAATGTACCAAGGGAATATAGTAATTACTAAATTAAGTAAAGAAAATAAATTGCATTTCGTCCAAGTGTAGGCTCGTAAGAAAATATTTCGTATATTCGATTCGTAGCTCTTATATTAAAAATTATTATAAAAATTTAACACTAGCTACAACTTTTTATTAGATTTAACCCTTTGCACTCGACGATTTTTTGGCTAGAGAAGAGTAGAAATTCAAAGATTCTTTACTAAAAAACTGACGATAATTTTTTGAGCAGTAACTAAAGAATTGTATAATAATAGAATTATAGAGTTATTTGATTTCGATACCTTGCACACTGTTACATTTTAATAAATTTGATATATTAATTAATATCGATCTTCCAAATTTTATGAAATGGTGACTGAAGATCACCTCTCGGGTGCAAAGGGTTAATAGCAAAGTAGACAGTTCTGGATAGTTGTGAATTTTAATCTACTAACCTGTTGTGCTCGTTGTCGCAACGATGATGGCAGTGATCGTGAGACTGGCAACAATGATAACGACTTTGACGATAACAATCCCGACAAGGTCGTAGAAGATCGAGAGCCGAATGTTTTGCGCATTGGGAATTGCAAGCGCGGGAAATACTTGAGGACGACGAGTTACCTTTCTGCGGAACGAACGTGCACCGCGAATTTCGATGAACCGACTTGCAACCCCTTCCGCCAACATTACAATCGTGATCGTCTCTGTTGCAGTCTAAACGTGGCAAAATTATCGCGATAATTTGCGTCCACTGCGATCTTGGTTCACGAACACGTATCGAACTTCCACTCACTTCGTTTCTCGAACGAACCACTAGTTTTACCGTTGTCCGCTTCGTTCTGGTCTTGGTTGTAGAGAAGATTAACGGAATCCAATTTGACAGAAGTTTCTTTCGGGCTTCGTCTTCGGGAATAGAAATATGAACCACGGGAACGACTAGTATTTCTCGATTCCGTTATGAAACTTCGGGTAACCTTCGAGTCGCAACTGGGAAAAGCAAACTTCTCATCGTATCGAACGTATGATGCAATTATATATAATATCTAGTAGAAACTGAATCTTTAAGTGAATATAAATATTCTGAAAATATAGTGGAAAAGAAAAGTGAACAAGAGAAACCTTTTAAAGAGTGCAACTTTGTAAGAGCGTAAATTCTGACGTAATAATGAAATTCTGTTAAAAATTTAAAACGCTAGATGTATCGTGAAACAGAGTCGTTTCTCCACTGTCACTGCTGCCATTAAATATTAAATCTATATTAACGTGAAATATTAAGATCGAATGAAAATTTAATATTCTCGCTGTGATTGCAGTACATTTCGCTTAAATTCGTTCTATCGTATGCATGCCGGTGGAAAATTCGTCATACCTTTCTACTTGCTCCGATTTGGGAAATTCATTTTTCTGTGCGACTCCGTTGTATTCTTTACTTGGGACGGTGTCGAGTGTATCTCCAGCATTGCATTGATTGTTACGTTTACGGCAACAGCTACAGATTATTGGTTTCTGAAGTAAGTTTTCGTTGATCGAACCACTTTCTCCGCTCTCGTTGTTCAAGACTGCCTTCCTCTCCACGCGATTTGGTTTCGCGATTAAACTGTTTCTCGATGGGAATGGCAAATTCTCTTGATCGTTTGGCTCCTCGTTTCCACTGACGCTTTCAGTCTGATCCCAGACATCGTTAAAGATAACAATTTTAGCGAAAGCAACGTCGTTAAGAAGGTTTTGAAGCTCTTCGCGCACAATAGTCTAATACCTAAAGACTCAGACATACCTAGGACTGCATTGCTGCCTTATCGCCAATAACAGAACCAAATCTCAAGACCTAGTAGCTTCTACAGCTAAACTGCTATTTTATTGTCTATATAGCTCTTCTCATTTTCGACACTCAAAAATGACTATGTAATCACGTCAACCAAAATATATAAAAGACCTCGAATCTAATCTATCTTACATTCACAATAATAATCCTGCTTTTAACAATAAAGGTGTATTCGTGATAAATAAAATATATTGAAAATATAAGTATCATACTCCTCCATGTTTTATTTTGAAATCATCAAAATATTGTTAGGCAGCAAAGAGATGTGACATATGACAAATGCACTTTATGTATTTTAATCGTTCATCAAAGAATAAAATTCAATTTATAATTTGCCCCAATGTAATATACTACAAACGTGAAAATTGAAACAAATTCTAGAACATGAATGAGACAGTTACCTTCTCAGACTTCGTGGTTTCCTCCGAGTTACAATAAAGGCCAAAATTTTTCGGAAATTTACGTCGAGCACGACGAAAAGCCATCGCAGCTGCGACCAATTGATGCGACGATGACGGACAAACCTGGGACATAGCTAAAAAGTGGCATAAACCGATTTGAACATTTCCCGGATTTAAAAAACAGTTCAATTTGTTATTCGGAGTAATTGGTTACGTCTGCTATGGGAAAAGGGGCAATTAAACGTTGAAGTGAGCCACGCTCTTTCACGAATAATTTACGAAAAATCGAATTCGATTCTCCTATCGATGCGAATGATTCGAAAGTAATGAAAATAACAATTAATAACTAACGATAGTCTTCGCTTTATAGTGACGTAGAATATGTTGTAAAATATATCACGCTAGAAGTAGCAAGAATTTCTGAGTCTCTTCAAATTTCATTTCTTCCATTAAATTCTCGAGATTTATTTTTTAATTGAAACTTATCGAATTAAACATTCGAAATTGACTTATTTGGTAGCTGGATTTCTTATGTCGAGTGATTTATTTTGAACGACATATATTATTCCCGCGAAATCTAAGAATCTTAATTGTTTATTGTACCAATATTTTACGATATTCGATTTTATTATGTCTTTTAATACACACTGTTCGCCCAGTATAATGGCAGGCAATTCCAGTAGCGTACGACTTCATTGGATTTGTATTAAACAGAATTTCGTCCAGTATGAAAACCTAGGCCAATATTCGATCACGTATCGTATTGGAACGTTTAACGACTTTAATTAGAACGATGGCAGATTGGTAGCAAAAACAAAGCTGTTTTAACATCTGCTGACTGAATTGAGCGGTAAATTTTGTTAATTCCACGTTTTACCGAACAGACCAATCCCAACGTGTAATAACAACCATGTAAATTAGTTAAATCTAAATGAGAGTTTTTACGCAATATCGAACAGCCATTGAATGAACTTTTTATCAGTAAAGTAAATTTAAGATTCCATTAAAATAAATGAGAATCATTACAAAGGAAAATTAGATTTCACTCTGATATAATTTTCAGTCTTGGAAGGAACTCCATGGTTAATTGCTGAAACTGCGATACATATAAAAGAAATATTCCGCCACTGGAAATGGAGGAAATATAATAAGAACGAATCTCGTGATCGATAATTAACCGAATATGTACATGGTTCTCCGTTATCAGAATTTTAATTAATACTGAAATAACTGGGGAATATTCTTTGACCTCGGCAGAAGTTAATTAAAGTCCGTTTGCTATTTAAAAAATTAACAATTTAATAACACTCAACGAAATAGTTCCAAAACTCGCATCGGTATATCAAAGTGGAAGCAAATATAATTTAATGTAATAGCATCGTTTGAAAATAGACTTTACTGTACATGTCTGAAATAAACTACATACTTTATTTCTTGTAAATGTTCCAACTACGAATGCTCAATGGATCTTGTCCCAGACCGTTTTCGTAAATTATGGCCTAGGACATCCTCAAATTATCGTATCCATGGGTCAATGTACACGCCAACTGGAAATCTTATACAGAGTACAATTCCCATTGGTATGATCACTCGTTCTAGATAGAAGTAACTTGTCATTTCGTGCGACTGATACGACCATAAAGAATATCGCACAATTGAGCAACCATGCGAACAATGTGCTATCCCATTTGGCAATAAATTGCAATAAAATGTATAATGGAAAATATTTCTCTGTAGAAAAATGATAAAAAAATATTAATTTAGGAATAATTGATTTGATTGTTTAAATGATATAAATAAAAACACGGAGTATCAAGAATTCATTGCGATGAAATTAATTTATTCAAAAAATTACGTTGCATCGGAAAATATATTTCTATAACTAAATCATAAAAATAATTACTTAATCCAAGACAAAAGATACATTAGTCGAAATTTAATAAATTCGAACTTGACACTTCTTATTATAAAGTTTAAATATCATACTGCATGAAAAATCGTTTTTTCCCGAAGACACACGTGTAGATGAAGGGTGATATTGACCCTATTCATTTAATTGTTAAATCAAATTGTACTATAACAGCGATCAATTAACTTACATTTCTCGCAGATTCGTATAGGAAACGCGGCAATTTTCACGCAAAAGAAACATTCGCGATTTTGATATTAACGCCTCATAAGATCGTAGGCAACGATTTATTCGCATTTGTATACAAACTTGCATACACCATTTATAACTATCTATGAATAAAGATTATACGGTATATGTAGAATACACCGATCAACAAAAGAAATAGACCCATATGATGTGTTCGAAATAGGATTATGTACTACAGATACAAAAAAATATACTCCTAAGTCCTCGTGTGATTATGTGTGTGCGTAAATATTAAAAGCATTTCTTGAAACTAATCAGAACCATTTCTCGCTATATGCATCCGCATCACATTCGACATCTGTATATAGTATTTCCTTTGCAAATCGTGATTCACACGATCTTTGCATTGTATCATGGAACCGAGTATTTATCTCGGTAAACGTGAATATCGTTCGCTTGTAACGCGACATTTATAAATTCAGTATTATCATTCGCTACCTATACCTTTGAGACGTTCGTTATAAATAATTTGTAACGTATACACACTTTTTACAGTACAGCATCTCTGCAGCGACACATTCGCAACGAATAGTTAAATTATAATTAACTATCGTAAGGAACAATTCGATGAAGATAACATAATGCAATACCATCCATTTACGTTCGCTATACCCGTCAGAATCAATAACATTCGCAGTAAGTGGATTGATGAACCGTGTGTGAATCGGACGGACTGCATCAGCCATCTTTAAGGTACTAACGTAAGAACTCCCTTCACATCGTATCGTATGTTCAATTCATCCATGGTGGACAGGAAGTCGGTGGTTGATATGTCTGAGAAATTGGCACCTGATAATGTTGCACTGATTGAGGAGGATGCTGCGGTCGCTGCTGATGATGTGGCGGTGGTGGTGGCGGTGGATTACAAATGGATTGCATCAATGGGTGTGAATTATAAGGGGGAGGTTTTGTCGTATATGGTGGCATTTGATTATACTCGACATTCAACGGATGTTCCATTATCGCATTTTGTACGGGCGAACGATTACCTTCAATGTGTCCTGAATAATTACGAAAACATTTAATCATTATATTATATACGGAATTTTTTAAATTAAAATATAAAAATTAAACAAAATTACAAATAAATGAAGAACTATTTCAAGAAATTAGAAAAAAGAATAATCATTTGAAATAGTTTGAATTAATAAATGCTTAATAAATACTAAAAAGCCCACCATGTGTTTTATATTAAAATCGAGTTATAATCATTTGGATTTTATTTATAAACATATACAACTATACAATTATCGACACTGTCGTTATTCACTATCAATACCTCTGGGTCTAATTTGTGGTGGCGGCATATTTGTTGGAGGTAATGTAGGACACATTCCTTGATGTTCTCCATCCCTTGGCATAGGTGGTGGTCTGCCCCATGGAACTCTAACATGATGTGTTTGCCATGGTGCCTGTGGAGGAAGTGAAGGGGGCAAAGGTGGTCCACCTCCAGGGTGCATGTTTATTGAATCTCCAAGTGGATTTTGTTCATTTCCTATTAGATAAATATATACACATAATACAATCTATTTTTCAATTTGTAAAAAGGTATAAAAATTAATGTATTAATTAAATTAAAAATGTTAAATATACCTGTATTTATGCCTGCAGATTTTTGATCCAAGCTGCGTTTTTCACCTAAATAATAAAAATTCATGAAGTGAAATAAAATACATTAAATAGTATGGAACAACTATACATAAAATATATTATAAAATTAAATGTGGCAAATGACGTAATGAAATATTGTAATATGACTATGAATTAATTAAACTAAAAGTAAAAATATATCTTTTTGTTTTAAATACGACTTCACTTTTTTTTTATTACTCCAATTAATATATTATTTATATTAAAAATATCATTACAACTTTCGATTAATACTGCTTTTTAGTTTCTGCTTAAATTAATAATGTATAATGTTTAGTGTTCTACGTATTTCATAAAATTATATAATAACATAAAAAAGTTACAATATTTCATGTCATTAACCATTTCTTATAAAAGAAAATAAATGATGATTATGACGCTATATGTATCTGAAAACATGTAATATATATCCATTGTATCAGCTATGATGTTATGATTCCTGTAGCGGCTTCTTAGTGTTCACAGTTTATTTAATTCGTGATCTGCAAAATAAAATTTGTTCTTTCAAATTTATTCTTATCCGCATCATCCAAATTTCTCGTTAAATCCGTTTATCGAACTACTCCTTGATTCACTGCAAATGAATAATAAAATCAATTAGATACAATTACTTAGCAAATCCCAACATTTTGGTTCTGTAAATTTGATACATGTATATGTAGAAAAAATTACGTTAAATCATTTATAAACTATGAATCATTAATGTCAAAGGCAACTGTGCTGCTACTCCATGTATTCACATGCTCAGCTTCAGACGTCTGATCCGAAGATATACGTCCATGGTATTTCGACTTGTTAAACTTAAAATACTCATTAAAACATAGAATGCATTTCAACAGAACACGAACGATAATAATTATAGTTAATACTGGTTAAAAGTAATCACTGAAATATAAAATCACTTCATTGCATAGAGATCTGAAAACACATATATATACTTTAATAAAAAACATATGAAGAAGCATTAAAATTAGGATGCTTAAGTTAACTATTTTAATTATGTAATATAATATAGCGAAAGTTTTGTTAATTCTAAATAATAACAAATAAAGACAAATGGAAAGCAATCTACGTCGTAGTATCATAAACGTTGTAGATAATTCTGGACGTCTATCTGCAAAGTGTTTGAATGAGTACATGAAAAAGCAAATTGCTAAGACATATGGATTAAGAGTAAGGAAAAATTTGTACTGTTTAGTAAAAAATATATTTACAGTAATTAATGTACTACAAGCTAAGAGTATTGAGAAACAATGCTAGATACCCATCTGAAATGAAAATATAAATATAAAAATTATTAATTAAATTATTTTATGTAATGAAATTAAAATACATATGCTTTAAAAAATATATATTACTATTGTATTCAATATATTTCATTGAATTACTCTTAGTTATTAAGTATTATACTTATGTTAATTTTCAAAAGGTATCCAGCACTCTTTCATCTTGAATACTCTTAGTTACAGACCTGGGTGTGGAGGTGGCATTAGCAGCTTGTTTCGATCTCCATGAGGTAGGCCCGCAGCTGTCGGTGATGGACCATGTAAGACTTGCTGCTGTCGATCACCTTCTCTGCTTAAACAATTCAGTTTCAAATTATTAATTCACAATTGATGATTATAAGGTAAACATTTCAAAACTTAAGCAAATATCACCTGATGCACAGCCATGGATATTTCTGAAATGTTAAAAACTGGTATTTCCAGGTCATAGTTAATGATACCAAACTTTGTGTAAAAAGTATTTGATTGTGTTATAACTTAATAACACAGAATATTATAATATTAGTTTCTTACCAATTGTTTCATGTACAATCTATAAGTATTGTAATTATATTTTCTAATTTTAACTTATTAACTTAATTAAAATTTTATAATTATATAAGCTCTAAGGAATAATAAAATAAATCACGTCATTTTTAACACAAAAACTATTAACCATAAAATAAGTATTTACAAAAAAGTTTACATGAAGAAATATACAAATTTATACATTTTTCAATATAATATTCTGTGAAAAAATTAGTTATATTCACAATCATTTACTTTACACATCCTGATTACTCGGATGTATTTTTACATTAATTTTATATTTTTTTACAAGTGAAACAAATATTTCTAAATAATTTGATTGTGAATATGTGAAATTTTTACTATCAAATTATATCTTGTAAAAGTAAATTGATGTTCCTTACTCCATAATATTGAATGTTCTTTTCCCTATCTTTTTACCTTTTTTATAATGATAAATTTATGAGTAAGGAACAACTAAAGACTTTCCTGCTTACTTATTGAATTTGGTACATCTTGATCAAAGCAGGTTTCTGAAAAAAATTTAATTTTATTGCAATGCACGTATTTAAGCTTACTCTAATATAAAATAAATTGACTATATGTAAGTTACAATTTTCATATCTAAGCAATGAATTATTAAGCAGCTTTCACAAAATTAGAGATTCCATCACACTTGGTAGTAATACACAATGTAATTGCAAACATTAAACGCGTATACTTATATATATTTCAACATTACATTTCTTTTTCAGCTTTAATATTAATCAGACACTATAAATAAACATGTTTATTTTGTATTTTAAATACGTATTTAAATATAATTGAAGCTCATTAAACCTGCTTTATTCGCTTGTTAAACTTTTATTTCCTGGCATAATGCAAGAAAATTTTATTTCATGCATATAAATAGATTGGACTATACTAATAAGGATAAATAAATAAAAATTTCAACGATTTCACTTACCCTGTTCCATGACGTTGAGCAGGCAGAGGACCACATTGATAAGGTGATGATTCCTATTATTCATATTGAAGAATTTATTTCAATTTTTATGAGGAAAAATTGATTTACTTTATGAGGAACAAATTTTAACAACTAACCGGATTTGTTTCAACATCTGAAAATCTTCTTTTTACACCATGAGATTTTTGCTCTGGAGAATCAGGCTTTTGTTCAAATTGCTGAGATGGTGGTTGAACTGTATAATGTATTTGAGGGGGTATATGACCATTTTGATATTGCATATGCTGAGCGTGATACTGTATTTGCGCTTGAACTTGCGGTGGAGGTACATTGTGTAGAGGTATATTTGCGGGTGGCATCTGAACCTACAAAATAAAAATTGTATGTTTTTTATGATACACATATCAATCTATAAAAATATATTACTACATTACCTGCAGCTGACCCTGTGATTGCAACATTTGTTGAGATTGTTGTGCTTGATATAACCACGGAGCATTTTGTGGTGGAGGTGCTTGTGTTGGCGGCGGAATGCTGGTAAGAACGTTCATAGAATTTGGCATTTGAGCAGCAGGTGGTGGTACTATTTGAGGAGGTGGTACTGGTTGAGGTTGTGGTCCTTGATCCACTGGTCCTTCTTGTTGATGTTGAACTTCACCTCCAGGAGGAAGAGGATGTTGTTGAGGATGTTGGGGCGATTGAGCATTAGGGACTAAGAAAGTTTGCGTAGACGGCGGAGGTACTTGTAAATGAAACTGAGGAGCATGACCTTCGAACTGTGGAGGTAACATATGCTGTGGAACAGCCTGAGATTGCTCATGGTTTTGCTGCAACTGTGGTGGAACAATATGCTCCCCAGGTTGTAACACAAACTGTGTTTGAGACTGTGATGCAGGTGCTTGCACTTGCTGGTATTGTATTTGATAAGTTTGTGGTACTGGAGGTGGTGGTTGATTTGGTGGGAAGTTTGGAGGTGGAAAATGAAGGTGCAATAAGGGTGGAGGTGGTTGTTGAGTTATATTAATTGGGGTCGCTGGAGGTGGTTGTTGTAAATTCACGTTGACGGCTTCGATTATTCCTTGCGGTGGTGTAGAAGGCCTTTGTACATTTGGTTGTGTATAAACATATGAAACTGCACCACTAACAGGTGCACTGCTACTTGTAATAAAGTTTTGTTGAGATGGGCTCTGAGGTGGTGGCTGACTCATGACATACATTTGCGCTACAGGTTGCGGTGAAGACTGTGATCCAGGTTGAATTCCTTGAATTTGTAGTGGTTGTCCAGGATGAATTTGATATTGCACTTGACTTACTGTTGATGGAGGACCAATTAATTGTACTTGTCCAACTGGTGGAGGTGGCATAAACGTTTGTATCTCCTTCACATAAAACATTCAGTTATAACATCAATATTCAATTGAACAATTATTCAATACACTTAAAAATTTATATTTTACCTGTGCTTGTGGTGGTGGTACCAATGGTCCAGAATGAGAAGGAATGTGTACTCCAGGTGGAGGAACTGTTATACCAGACCCTGGTGCACCGGCTACTGTAGCAGTGAGAATGGTTGCTGGCAAAGTTACTACACTACTTTGAGGGTGTTGTATAATATCTGTTAAGAATGGTTTGCAACAGTTACAGACAGAATTTCTAACAGCCATGAACTATTAGTGTATGTGCTCTACCTTGATGTTGTATAGTAACAACATTAGGCTGTCCCAAAGTACCAATGTTCATGGTTTGAAATTGTGCTATAAAAGATGAAAGTGATAACGAATGAAAATGTATAATCATATGTAATATTTGAGAAACATAATTAATTCATACTTTGTGGTATTTGTGACTGTTCTATAACTTGCTGTGATTGTACTGGTGGTGGTTGTTGTTGTATATATGATTGTAATTCAGATTGCATTGTTTGAATTAAGTTAATTGCTAACTGTTTTGCATTCTGTAATGCTTCTGGTTTTGGATGCCTATAAAAGAAACATGTAATGTACACTATCATTATAAACTTAAAATTATCAAGAAGAAAATGTATAAATCATCTTACTCTATGTACAAATGCAGTGGTTCTGGAGATTCAGTGCCTAAAACTGGATCAATGAATTGTGATCCTCTACCTCTTAAAGTTATATTTGCACCTGTTTCACCCCTAATATATAATAAATTTGCTCCACCTGCACCTATAATTCTACCTCTTAAATCAAACCCTTCTGGAGCATTTTCAATACCAACACATATTTTTTCCTATAAACATTATTGATATAAAAATAAAAATATAGTTTATATACATTACATAGGTACAATTAACATATATTTACAATTGTACAAAAATAACACATACCACAGATGTAACTCCGGAATGTAAACTCATAAGAGGTGGTGGTGCATTAGTAAATCTACTTGGCCTATTCAGAGAACTTTGATGTTCTGTTTTAATAATCTCATTAATTTTTTGTATAGCCGCTATAAAAAAAATATTTAGATAAACACTTTGTAATTAATAACAAATTAATAAAAAAAAAGAAAGACAAAAGAAAAATAACATACAATCTACATTATGTTTTGAATGACCCTGTATATAAAGATATAAAGGTCGTTCATTAGGACAACGTAACTTTTCTTGTTCTGTCATAAAACGTCCACGTGTTGAAACAGTAGCACCTGAAAGTTATTTAACATATGCCAATATGAATAATTATTATAAAAATAGATATAATATATTTTACAAAAAATATAAAATATTATACAATATAAAAATATACCTGAATAAGAATTAATTTCATCTTGTATATAACCCTTTGTAAGCAATGTGCGGGCACTAGGTGGTATTTCATTAATTTCAAACTCTGATGTATATGTTTCCCCATTTTTAAAGGTTGCATTTGAAGCTGTTAACTATTTATTGCAAATAGAGTATTAGTTTAAAGAAATTCTCGGAATAAAGTCAAATCGTTTCGTAAACGTACCTTATTATTTGAATCTGAACCCCTCAATTTTCCTTTAGCCATGGGAATAAAATATGTACAGCCTTATCAAGTATCTTCTCTTTCATAACGTCAACGCATACACACGATTAACACCACTCGAACGTTTTGTTAATGTACTAAACGAAGCAAATGGATAATAAGAACAATTTTACTATACTACTTCACTTCTTCGTTGTAAGTAAATCACATAAAGGACGTAAATTATAGGTTATGATTGATAGTAATAAATCTCCAATTAAGCGCCAATGAATTGAACTTCATTGTCACACATACCTAATTATTTAATAAAATCTAATCATGACTTATAATTTTATGATAAATACACAATAAAAATGGTTAATAGTGAATTAATTTTAAAGTAATTTCGCAAAAATATTAATCGGTACTACAAATCACTTACTACCATTTTTTTTTTAGTACTATCGTTGCGTGAGATGCTATGACACTGACAGACTTGCGCGTATTAGATGAAGTTGCCATGTTAATTTTACATATATGAAAAACAAAAGATTACGTAACTAAATTAGTAATGACATTAATTTTTCTATTAACTTTAACGTTTATTTTAATATTCTATATTATATTATATAAATGCTTATACATATATTATAAAATTATCGTAATTTTAATATGAAAATTTTGTTTTATTATAAATAGCAGGAAAAGATTTTATAATACATTTTCTTTTATATTTTAGTTCATTATTTTTATATTTAAATTTCAAATAAATTAGTAGAAATATTTTCTTATATGTCATACTGAATATCGAAATTAAATTAAAATTCAAAATAATGTAACTAAGTTAAATCGTATTTCAAAAATATTTTAGGTTTTAATGAAAACGAAGAATTCCCGAAAATATTCATTGAATAAATAGTTTATTTCAATTTTTAATAATAATATGTGCACTTCCTTGTTTTGGAATACAATTAAAGTATAAATAATTAATTGCATGCTATCAATAAAAATATTGCGTCGACGCACACATCTTCTTTATTGTGCAAATGTAAATAAATCATATTTGACTAGTTTGCGCAGTTAATTAATACAAAGAATACACTTGAAAGATTCATTATCTAATATTGTGACCAAGAAATGCATCAATCTTCCTTAGTATTATGTTTACAACTCCTAAATTTGAATACTAGAAAAATAATGATATATTGCTTCCATTTAATTACTATATGTATACAGATAATATGTTGCTTTCTACGAAGTTATAGATGCTTTTATTAATATTTCCTCTAAAAAATATTCGTTAAGCTTTATACTATATTATATTGTTTTCATGCAGAATGTTAACAATCTTGTCTATTAACTTTAAGTTTACATTATTTCATATATTTGCCAAAAGAAAAAAATTATTACACAGAAAGATTTTTTGAACAGTGACAATGAGAATCCATGTATTATTTTTTAACGCAAGATTGTAACTATTCTATGTATAAATACATCACTCATGTACATATTGTTTGAAGGAATAGAAAAATAGATTGTTCTTAGTCATAAATATTAATATTTGTAACTTATTCAGTGTATGGCTATCTTTTTCAAGTTTGTTTAAAACTTATTTATTCTTAAAATCCTTAACTAATTATTTATGCCAGGTTCTAGCGGGTAACTAAGAATTACTTATTTTTGAAGAAATTAACTATTAAGGTAATTAATTAAAAATAAGTAATTTACTTCAATTTCAGCTTTACATCAGTGGCACGAATCAGTCTCTTCTCCGAATAAGGCCGTTTTGAAATTTATAAATTTCACTTTCAATACTTTCAGTTAGATATAAGATCTAAAACATTATCTTTTCATTTGCAGTACAAACAGAGCTTAAAAAATGTATAGACATGCTCATTATTTAAAGCACTGCGTTCAATTATAATAAAATATATAATTGACAAAGAAACTGATATATAATATTTGTTATACAATACAATTTAATGTAATAAGTATTGAAAGACAATGATGTTGATAAAAGGAATGTCGGTGTTATGTACATGAGTTATTAAGTATAAAATATAAGCTCAGGAATTTGTCCTTCATCAGTAGATGTTCCATTGTTATCTTCAGTCTCACTGCTAAATTCAAACTTGATTTTTCCATTTCCTGAATCAGTGTCCACTATGACTGTTTTTAAACCCTTAGTACCATAATGGGAATAAGGGCCCTGAAACAATAACAATGTTATAATATAAAAATTCAATACATATATAAATTAAAGATAATAAATTTTCATATACAAACTCTTAATGTTACTGATGCAGTGTAAATTGTATTTGATAGAATTTCAGCTAACTCTTTGAACATTAAGCGATAAGTATACTTTGAACCATCACAGCTAAAACTTGTCGAATTTGAAGCAATTACTTTTCCAGAAGCAGTATGTATCAATTCTATTAATGTCTCGTATATCGCTGGTCCGTGCATGCCACCATACACTCCATAGCCAATAAGAAATATGCGTCTGTCAACGCTAAATCTAAAAAAACGAAATGTTAAGTTATAAAAAATCATTTTATTTTTTTATCTTATCTTAATTTCTATTTTAAAAATAACCTTATACGGTCACTTGTTCCATTATATCCCCATCTACTTTTGGTATGTTGAAATCTGCATACAGTCAGTTCCTTACCAGTCATGCAACAACGAGGCATTGTTTGAAACCCTACCACTGGCTTTGGATTTAGTATAAAATACGAAAATAAAGAGAGCACCTAAAATAGAAGTATTCAATAAAAATTTGTTTATACATATACAAACATTTTATTACTTTTAATAATTACTGCATTATTAAGATAACATTACATAAACATGTTATTAGGTTTGTACTGTTTTTCTCTAAAACTAAGAATATTATAATTCTGACTTTTACTTCTATTTATAATTACAATTAGAGTGAAACCTTTTCCCTTTTTTAATATGTTATTTTAATATGTAGTTTTGGTTTAGAACATATATTAAATTGTGTTGATACCAACCTCTGAATATTTAAGAAGCCCAGACTGTGCTGGGCCAGCAGTAAATTCTTCCTTTGACATTAGAGGAAAACGAATCAATGAAAAAGCACTACTCAAAACATGACGTTGATTTTCTGGAGTAACTGGTAAACGATGCCTTATACATTCTGCTTCTGACCATCTATTTCAAATAAATAAATATATACATATATATATATATATACACACTAGATATTATATACCTCATATACCTCATACTTTTATACCTTAGGACTGCTTGAAATATTTTAGATTCTCTAACACGAAGAGTATCTCTTTCCAGAACAATTTTTAATGTATCTATATCAATATCTGTAAATCCATCTGCATTTAAAGCTTCCGTGGTAAATCTATCAATAGTATCCAAACACACTGCAGCCAGTTGTGGTTCATCAAAAAGTCGAGCTTGCGTTAAAAGCAGAAAAGCATTATCACTGGTTAAATTGTTTTTCAAATAATCTACACAGTGTTTCTCTAAAGCAGACACTGCATACTTCTTAGCTGTATATAATGTTGTCATCACAGTTTCAGGATCTATTTGTATTTCATCTGTATATAAAAAAAGAAGCACTGCCAAAAAAGCAGCAGGTTCTACATCAGGTACTTCTATTTCTGAAGAAGCTGTTGCAAGTGTTCCATTAAACATTGCATCAAAAACAGCACTTCCAGAGGATAGGACTAGTTTATGAGCTGGTATACGTTGTTTTTGTGCTCCCCTTCCCACTATAAAGCTCACATCTGACAATATTTCATTATTGAAAAGGAAAACAATTCTTTCACGCATTGTAGCCTTTGTACCCTGCCAATTATAAGCTATTGTTGCTTGTCCATTTGTAGATGTACTTTCCAAGGCAACAGTATCTTGAGATCTTCCTTCCAAATGCAGCGTATTCGCTACATTTGTTGGAGGTCTACTAAAAAATGAATATCAATAGGCTTATGAAAATACTATTTATAACAATGTTATAATTATAGTTATTATAAAATTTATTATTTACAAAAAAATTGCACAATATACGATTTATTAAAATGCTTACTTATCTCCATTTGAAGATGAAGATTCTCCAGCTCTTGCTGTCGAAGTTGGTTGATCCTCATCACAAACGAAATTGAGCGCTCGTCTAGCACGTGAAATGATAACATTGCCAATGGGTTGGATATTTCGTACAGGTTCTGAAGATGATTCTCCAGATGCAGCAACATTTACATTTTGCTGAGATTCATCACCGTCTTCGTGTCCTAAGCGTAAATTATGCAGTCTCGATACAATTGGCACATCGCTCAAGGAAGCCTCCGAGGTCATTTTCATGCAATGAAACGTAGTATTTTTCGATGTACTGCTCTGTTTCATCGAATTGTTACAAATAGTATTAATAAAACCGGTACGGTCGTTTGCATCAGGTCGTCTGTTTTGCGCTCATTTAGTGTTCTGTACGCACGAAAATATCAAAGAATTAAACGCAGTACTATTAAAGTAAATTATTAAAGAGTACGAATGTCATTGTATAAAAGAAATTTTATCACCTATTCAGTGGCAGGTGCCAATCGTAATACCCATGTACACGTGCCTTCACCAATAGCACTTGATTAGAATGTGTTCTCCAATAAATTGTGCTTGCCACAGACTATACTGTAGCTATTACGACAAGACTTTCATGTAGAGATATTCGATCGCTTATACTGCATCCACAATGTACTCTGAAAATACTTCTCGAATCTGAAATAAAACAAATTTATTATCAAAATAAGGTTTCTACAAATTTTTACATCATATTACTTAATAAAAAAATAGCTTAAAATTGATATTTACGTAATTGACTGGACAGCTCAGAATTTGCGAATATAGTTTACATTATCTTTCACAGAGGACACTATAGATATTAAAATTGAAATTATAATAAATAATTTGTAACTTCTTGATATTATTGTATTCAAATTCAATGTTGATTTTGTAATTTACTTTTATATAGAGAAAATACAATTATGAAACGAATTGTAAATTTTATTTTAATCTGGTTATAGTTCAAAATTTAATAAAGTCACTAATTACTTACATACATTTGTTTTAAATTTACTGTCTACCAAATTGTAACTTTTCCACTAATATGCAACGGGCAATTCTACTAGAGCTTACGTTCCTGGACACGAATCCGTAATCGATATTGCTATATTGTTTTTAATTTAAAAAAAAAAAATGTCTAAAATGTGCAGAAAAATATCATACATAATGTGCAATAAGATATCATATAGAATACTGTTAAATAAATACAATATACTCTCAATACAACTCGTTAATGCGGCACTGATTCTGTTGATTCTGATTCTCTGATTCTCTCGATCAGCGCCATCTATTATTTTGGATCCAAAGCTCGGTTTTGTGATAGGAACACAGAATGCGCAAGGAGGTTGTCGAAGAGCTCTGCAAGTCAGACAAAGATAGATAGTGGATAGAAAAGGACAGAATAGCTCCGGCAGTGAAAAATTATTAATTACTCAATATCCGTAAACAATTTGTGAACTTTTATAATTTCAATGCAAAGCTGGAACTTCAGGCTGCATTCCTATATAATTTTCGTAAAGAATTTAGCTCTAAATTATTAGTTATTAATTTTTGTTTTATGGCGTCTATGATTTCGTAACGGCGACCATCACGACTTCAGGGAAAATATTTAATAGTGAACGAAATTAGAAGCAAAATGTGATCAAAAGTTATATGAGAAGATTCGCAAGAACATTGTTTTTATAATAAGTGCATAAAGATTCATAAATTAATTGCGCAAAGGATAGTAATTAATGAAAAACCAATGGCGTCTCCAACAACAATTCAAACAATTCGACAACTCCGTAGAATAATAATTAATAGTTAATTAATTCGGGACAAATTTATATCGAAAAATATATTGGAAGGCTCGTGAAGGATCTGTCTTTACGATGCAATTATAAAAGTTCATAAATTAATCACAGATACCGAGTAATTAGTGAATTTTCCACTGCCGATTTGATTTATTAAAATATATTCGGAGCACATAACCAGAGTTAGTAAACTGACATCAGAGCCATCTATGATTTTAAACTCGAAGCTCGAGTTCCGAAACGAGAACATAAATGACTCTGATGTCAGTTTATTAACTCTGGTTTGTCCTCCTAATATATTTTAATATATTTTAATAAATCAAATTATAAAGTTTTCTACATTCTTTAATAAATTCAGCCCAAACAGCAGTTTGTTTTAATTAGACAATCAGCATTCATTTCTTTATCTGACAGACGATAAATTTGCAAAGGTACGCCTTCACAACGCAATTATAAAATTTCATAAGTTAATCACAGAAATTGAATGACTTGTTAATTTTTCTCCAAGTGAACAAGAGAATGCATAGGAAATGAGAAAAAATTGCAAACAAACGCCGGAAGCATTATTGTGTCCATGCATATTGTGCCTGCATCATGCAAAAGAATGTAAGTCTTTGAAATTAAATAGTGTAAATTATGAGCCATTGTTTTTCCACCTTTTATTAGTGATAGCAGAGCTTGGTTATGAAAAAACAATATTCTATTGAAATCAACCAACATGTGCAACAGTAGAAAAATATTGGATTCGTGGAATATCACGAACATAGAGCCATTAGATGCCAAGGATTATATTTTATAGCGAGAAAAAATTGAAACAGCAATACAAATATGTAAGTTATGATATGTCTATTGGTTTCTAGGTCGTCTAATCATATGACATACAAGATAGAAATCTTTGATGGTCAAATAAAGATTCATACAATGGAGATGGCTTAAGCAGACTAAAGGAGATAAAATTAATTTAGGTGATGGCCTCTTATAACAACTAGATATAGAGAATACATTGAGATTGAGAGGTATGTTGTATTCCTGGTCTATATAAATATTAATATCAGTGGTCAAAGTCAATGATCATTTCTAATGTGTTATGTTTCAGAATTATGGAGCTAAGGTAAATAAAGAAAAGACAGTGGTTGGAATGAAAGCAGTGAGAAGAGGAAACATATTATGTCAAATAAAGAAACAAGAAAGGGGCAGCATATGTATCAACAGAGAAGGATGTGTGCTGTGGACATGCAAATATAAGGATTATTGAAGAGATGGAGAATGGTCACTTGGTAATAGGTATAAAAATTAAAGATAAATTGAATATAGAGTGTACATGTTGGATTAAGGTTCAAATGTATAGAAATATTTATAGGAACTATAGAAATATCTGTAGAAACTATAAAAGCAGCAGGAAAAAGGAATAATGGGGCTGTGACACGTAGAATTGATTAGGCCAATAAAGGCAATGTTAAAAGGAGGAAGAAGAAACATCTTACCTGCTTATTATATGATTATTCGAGAAAAGAACCATTTTCTTGACTAATTTTTAAATGACTAAAGATTTAATATGAAATATTATTAACAAAGGATTCCTTTCATTATAGGAGGCTTACAAACATGAGTTATATTTATATGCAAGAGCCAGCCACAAAAGGTAAAGTAATAAGTACTAGTTAATAGTATTTCAATGAACTGTATATCTGTTTTTAAAAATTTAACTGATATACAATATTTACTTTCTAAATTTCTATATTAATATATTAAATAATTTCTAATTTGAATTAGAATAATAAATAATAAATTTTAATAAATTTGATTTCAAAAGTATTTTACGTTAATAAAACTAATATATTTGTTATAACTAGGTTATAATGAAAACAACTGTTGGTGGTATTGAGTTAGAATTATGGGCAAAAAGAACTGCAAAGATATATTATTAGGATGACACTATATTTCATACAATTATCAAAGGATTCATAACACAAGGTGGTGATCTCACAAGTACAGGAGAAGGTGGTAACATATCTGAAGAACCATTTAAAGTGAGACTATATTTAAAAATAAAATGAATTCCTTCTTTATTCAAAAATAATATTTGTGTTTCAGGGCAAATTTCATGCAAGATTACTTACGTTTTTTTCGTTAGATTTAATTGCTATGGCTAATGCTGGAAAAGATGACAATGGTTCCCAATTCTTCTTTACTCTTAGTTCTTAGTTCTACTGGAGAAACTATATATAATATAATTGAACTTGAAAAAGTACTTATATATGAGGTAAATTTAATGTTTACAAGAAAATATATCAAGAATTAATATAAATGTAATATTTCCTCTGTTTTGTAGAATAATAGGCCACTTTATTCTTCAAGATTGATATAAACTATAATATTGAACAATCCATTTTCTGATATTATTCCTAAAATAATAGTATAGAAAAGTGAAGAAGTAGCGATTGGGAAATTGACGACGGAGTAGTACGGACATCTACTTAGATTCTAATGTCTATATGGCATTGTTTATTATGTCGTTAACAACTTTCAAAGTGAATAAAATGTACCTATTCTTTTTACCAAGAATAAAATCACTCTACTTCATTTGTGACTTCATGTTTGTCTACAATTAATTGATCACCTTTTATAATTGCATTGTACAGGCACAGCTTTAGCGGACTTTCTAATATAATTCTGGATCTGAATTCCTTGTTATTTAATTCATTATTAATGATTCTTGCATAGAGTGTTTGAACCATTGCCGAGAATACTAATGGTTTATCTTTCCATTAGTATAATAGAATAATTAATAATTCCAGTTCATGAATTAATTATAGAAATTTGGAATTTTTCGCAACAAAAATATATGTATATTTGCATCATTGACGTTATTAAATATAAGAGACATCGTTTGATATTTTACATCGGTACTTAATCACATAGCTATTTCAAAAATGCAACATTTTCCCGCTACAAAAATACCTAGCACATCCGGCTGCAGCCAACTTCCAGTTGGTGGCAAGCGGGCATAACATTAACATCGTGCAATATTCTCCCGCGTCAAAATAAAACATTAAATCTCAGAACGTTTCGTGAAGTAGTGATATTGCTGATTGATGTTATAATTATTTTACGAAGTTCAAGATTACTAACTATGAACATTTCTTCCGAGGTAATATACTATATGTGAAAAAAGGGATCTTGCATAGTACAAGTCGTATAACGATACCGGTGGAAAATAAAGTGGTGTGAGTGTGGGATCCTATAATACTACTGCATTGTCCGTTACAATCCGCTGTAGAAGATTCTAGATTTCGACTGATTATTGGAATATTTGATTAACATTACTCTGAATAGGCAGTTTTTAAATAGTTTTTCCAATTTTTTTTCGATCTTGACGTTCCATTGCAACATAATTATGTACTATCTCTTTTCATTCTAAATTTTAATTGTAGACTTGAATATTTCGTTACTACTGTATAGAATAGGCAGTTTCCAACAAGTAGGGCAATTATATTACGATTGAAGGTGCATATCTGAAACAAAGTAACGGAAAAACAAGTGCCTGTGAAAACGTTCTACACAGTATAATTTATTCTCCTATATTTCTGAAATTAGGCTTTTCGGTTAGATTTCTTCGGCATAACAGCGTAAAGTAATTTCTTCCTTAACGGGATTGGATATTTTTTCTCGGTTTTGAGTGCGCATTCTCGAGAATTAGTGCCGGAAGTGTCAGTGGCTGTCAGATCGTGCTGCGCAATTTACTTTTTTGGCTTCTAGTTTTTGAATTAGGCTTTTTGAATCGGATTTTTCCACCGATTCGCGTAGAGTGATTATTTTCTTAACGGGATTGGATATTTTTTTTCTGTTTCGAGTGTGCGTTTTAAAGAAATAGTGCCGGAAGTGTCAGTGGCCCTCAGATCGTGCTGCGCAATTTACTTTTTTGGATTCTAGTTTTTGAATTAGGCTTTTTGAATCGGATTTTTCCACCGATTCGCGTAGGTT